CAGACGGTATTGACTTGATGCATACCACGGTATTGTGACTTTTGCATCCATCTGTTGTACTCAGTTAAGCCACTTGGCTTGTGTACTATTTGCAGCCACGTATTGTGATTTGTTCAGCCAGGTATTGAGGACTGATTGCACCACAGTATTGTGACTTTTGCGCCGGTATTGTGACTTTTGAAAATTGTGACTGATTGAAGCCACGTAGAGTGAACACGTTTGCAGCTGGAATATTTTAGGATTATGCCTTTATGCGCCACTAGTGTCTCATCTTCAACTTGTCGGTTTTTTCAAACCATTCATCACATCTGTCAGACACTGCACCCATCAGGATCTTGTACAAAGAATTCTTCAACACTTTTTAAACCTTTGGACGAAGACCTACTTCGACTAGTGGATGTACCACTATGACCCCGCCTCCATCTGCTTCAGTCACTCACTACCTGTATATAAGCCACGTCTACGGCCCTATTGCTGTACATTCTAAAAGTTTGATGGACTGAACACATCGACTCCAGGTTGAGGGACTGTTACCTCATTTCCTCCTCCCCTTAAGCCTTCCTCTTTGTATTGGACTGATGATGCCACTGTGGGGCGAAACGTTTTCCTGAATAAAGATTTCCATTGCTGCATAAGTGTCTCAATCTTCAACTTGTCGGTTTTTCAAACCATTCATCACAACTGTCAGACACTGCAGCATCATGGGATCTTGTTACAAAGAATTCTTCAACACTTGTTCAACCTTTGGACGAAGACCTACTTCGACTAGTGGATGGTACCACTATGACCCGCCTCCATCTGCTTCACGTCACCTCACTACAGTATATAAGCCACGTCTACGGCCCTATGCTGTACATTCTACAAGATTGATGGACTGAACACATCGACTCCAGGTTGAGGGACTGATTACCTCATTCTCCTCCTCTCCTTACGCCTTTCCCTCTTTGTATTGGACTGATGAAGCCACTGTGTGGCGAAACGTTTCCTGAATAAAGATTTCCATATGCTGCATAAGTGTCTCAATCTTCAACTTGTCGGTTTTTCAAACCATTCATCACAACTGTCAGACACTGCAGCATCATGGGATCTTGTTACAAAGAATTCTTCAACACTTGTTCAACCTTTTGGACGAAGACCTACTTCGACTAGTGGATGGTACCACTATGACCCCGCCTCCATCTGCTTCACGTCACCTCACTACAGTATATAAGCCACGTCTACGGCCCTATGCTGTACATTCTACAAGATTGATGGACTGAACACATCGACTCCAGGTTGAGGGACTGATTACCTCATTCTCCTCCTCTCCTTACGCCTTCCTCTTTGTATTGGACTGATGAAGCCACTGTGTGGCGAAACGTTTCCTGAATAAAGATTTCCATATGCTGCATAAGTGTCTCAATCTTCAACTTGTCGGTTTTTCAAACCATTCATCACAACTGTCAGACACTGCAGCATCATGGGATCTTGTTACAAAGAATTCTTCAACACTTGTTCAACCTTTGGACGAAGACCTACTTCGACTAGTGGATGGTACCACTATGACCCCGCCTCCATCTGCTTCACGTCACCTCACTACAGTATATAAGCCACGTCTACGGCCCTATGCTGTACATTCTACAAGATTGATGGACTGAACACATCGACTCCAGGTTGAGGGACTGATTACCTCATTCTCCTCCTCTCCTTACGCCTTCCTCTTTGTATTGGACTGATGAAGCCACTGTGTGGCGAAACGTTTCCTGAATAAAGATTTCCATATGCTGCATAAGTGTCTCAATCTTCAACTTGTCGGTTTTTCAAACCATTCATCACAAGTTACCAGATAACATTATCTCTGAGATATGGATCTATCTGTGTGCACTCATGTCTCTAACTCCTCTCCATTCTAAGAAGAGCTCTTGATCCAAGCAGATGGCGCTTCCTGACAAATATATAGTATTATTAATAATACTATTTCCAATACCATTATTACTACAAATACTATTATCACCCCCACTTCTACTGCTACTACTACTACTATTACTACTTCTACTTCTACTACTACTGCTGTTACTACTACTACTTCTACTACTAGTATTTCTACCACCACCACTACTACTATTGCCACTACTACTACTACAAACAATAATAAGAGAGAGCTGGCTCACAGCTGGTGACCTCAGACGGAGGTGTCGACTATGAGACCTGTTTATGTAAACTTTTATACTCAGCGGTACTGAACGAAAACTTAACTTAGAGACCTCATATAACCTTGCGGTAATGAACGTAATTTATTTTACCTTTTCCTAAATTTAATTAAATGTATCATAAGTTAAAATTTATTAAAAAAATAAATAAAATAAATATATATATATATATATATATATATATATATATATTATATATATATATATATATATATATATATATATATATATATATATATATATATATATCTGTGGAGACAAATAACTTTGTCCTTGGAGGCAAAGAGGGGAATGTATGAGAGTATAGTTTTACCAACGCTCTTATATGGGTGTGAAGCATGGGTGATGAATGTTGCAGCGAGGAGAAAGGCTGGAGGCAGTGGAGATGTCATGTCTGAGGGCAATGTGTGGTGTGAATATAATGCAGATAATTCGTAGTTTGGAAGTTAGGAGGAGGTGTGGGATTACCAAAACTGTTGTCCAGAGGGCTGAGGAAGGGTTGTTGAGGTGGTTTCGGACATGTAGAGGGGAATGGAGCGAAACAGAGTGACTTCAAGAGTGATCAGTCTGTAGTGGAAGGAAGGCGGTGTAGGAAAGGTTGGAGGGAGGGGGTAAAGGAGGTTTTGTGTGCGAGGGGCTTGGACTTCCAGCAGGCATGCGTGAGCGTGTTTGATAGGAGTGAATGGAGAAAATGGTTTTTAATTCTTGACGTGCTTTTGGGAGTGTGAGCAAAGTAACATTTATGAAGGGGTTCAGGGAAACTGGCAGGCCGGACTTGAGTCCTGGAGATGGGAAGTACAGTGCCTGCACTCTGAAGGGGGTGTTAATGTTGCAGTTTAAAAGCCGTAGTGTAAAGCACTCTTCTGGCAAGACAGTGATGGAGTGAATGATGGTGAAAGTTTTTTCTTTTTCGGTCCACCCTGCCTTGGTGGGAATCGGCCAGTGTGATAATAAAAATAATATATATATATATATATATATATATATATATATATATATATATATATATATTTTATATATATATATATATATATATATATATATATATATATATATATATATATATATATATATATATATATGCAAAACAACCACTCTGAAAGAATAGAGAAATTCCAAGCGCTTTCGTGACTACTCACATTATCAAGGAACTATGAAAGTGAAGCATCCAAGGAAGCTATATAAGGGGTCGGCCAGCACCTCACTATCAGATCCCACAACGGTTAAACACGTGACGCGCGGCGAGCCAACTTGGACAGGTCCTTTGCAAAACTCACCCCCAAGCTATTTATTTGTCCAGTGTATTATTAAATTCTACCCAAATTCTTTTAATTATAAATGGATCTAATTTATATAAACCAAAGGAAATATTCATATTATTGTCAAAACTGTTTTTTTATGAAACAAGATTCAATTATATGTAAGAGATTTTAACCATGAAATTGATTTTCAAAAAGTTGAAAAAGTAGTATCAAGCAAGTCCATGGTCGACAGGAATATAATTGAATCTTGTTTCATAAAAGCAGTTTTGACAATAATATGAATATTTCCTTTGGTTTATATAATTAGATCCATTTATAATTAATAGAATTTGGGTAGAATTTATAATACACTAGACAATAAATAGCTTGGGGGTGAGTTTTGCAAAGGACTGTCAAGTTGGCTCGCAGCGCGTCACGATGTTTAAACCGTTGTGGGATTGATAGTGAGGTGTGGCCGACCCCTTATATAGCTTCCTGGATGCTTCACTTCATAGTTCCTTGATAATGTGAGTAGTCACGAAAGCGCTTGGAATTTCTCTATTCTTTCAGAGTGGTTGTTTTGCATATTTTGAAATCACCTGTTTATTGTGATCTTATTGCATATATATATATATATATATATATAGATATATATATATATATGAGAGAGAGAGAGAGGAGAGAGAGAGAGAGAGAGAGAAAGAGAGAAAGAGAGAGGCCCCATCATCACCGAACATAGGTATATTTGCGGCAGGGTGACGGCTGATCAATTCGGGCTTCATGGTCTCGTATGTCACACATCAGAAGGGAAGTATGCCAGACATGAGGAGGTCAACGACATTATAAAGAGAAGCCTCGCCACAGCCCGTTGCCCAGCCAAACGGGAACCCAAAGTGCAAAGGTCTGAAGGAAATCAAAAACGTCCTGGTGGAGCCACTCTGCTACCCTGGAAGGATGGAAAGCAGATTGCTGGGACTACACCTGTGCCGCCGCATTGGCAGACACCTACTTGCCATACTCCATAGGTGAAGACCCAGAAGATCCGCAGATATGAAGGCCTCACCCATTGCTACAACTTCATCCCAATAAGGTCGGAGACCCTTGGAGCATGGGGCAAGTGTGCTCTAAAGTTCCTCAAAGAGCTGGGTGAAAAACTCATCATCGAAACCAAGGACCACAGGGCGACCAGCTTCCTCTTTCAGAGACTCAGTGTTGTGATCCAGAGTTGAAATGCTTGCAGCATTCTGGGCACGCTGCCCACCGCCGGGTAGCTGGACGAAGTATTCGAGATGTAGCTCTGAGTTATCTATGTTGTTTTACTCCCTATTGTATTTTATGTATAAATGTACATATGAATATGTTGACTCGACATGAAGAGGAAGCACAATTAGTTTTCGAAACCATAATCATGCATTTCATATAAAGTATTTTTTTTAGTTAAATATGAAATAAAAATTCTATGTGCATATGTTATATATCGTTACATTTTTCTTAAGAGCGTATAAGAGCTACCAGAACTTATACTTTTAAACTTCTGAAGTTTTGATCAAAGTATGAATTATCAACTTACCTCAGCGACTGTCTGGTGAAAACAGCGTAAAGAAACTCACTAAGAATGTTGAACAATTACTCAAGAAAAGCACTCAACATCAGTTGCCTGAGCCAGCGATCACACTGCCTTGTGTTTACACTTTTTAATACGGAGCGATATTGTCATATAATCATGACTTGGTAACTGAATCGAGCCGGCTAGTTGCTATCTCAAGGTCACGAGCTATTTATACACATAATAACAATTTCCATTATTTTTTTCTGATGTGTATGTCTGTCCTTACGTGTGTGCACTGAGTACATATACGTGGAGCGCTGGTTGGTAAATGGGGTTTAGAGCGTATCAACCACATGAGGGTCATTAAAGCTGCATATAGACTGTTCGCTACTAGTCAAGGATACTTTATCCTTAATATAGGAAATAAAGTAAACTCTCGGTGTATATACAATGAGTGATACTCGCCTCTCAGTGTATATATCCTGTGTGCATGGAGGAGTGTATATCTCCAGCTCCGAATTCTTTGCTTAATATCAATACCACACATGGTTCTCAAACTTCGCATCTCCACTTACATCTGGCTCTTCCTCACTTCTACAAGATGTTATACCTCCCTGTCCAGTGCATGAAATCACTCCTTCCGTTCATGAACATTTAAGAGCTTAAAATATTCCTTCCACCTCCCCATCCAATATCTCCCTTCTTTTGCTTTTAGCTACTGAATTTATTTGTTTCCAAGACTTTCTCAACTTATTAATCTAACTCCAAAACTTTTTCTTGTTCTCAGAAAACTTGTTGATAAAGCCTCACTTACTCTTTCATTGGATACCCTTTTGCACTCCCTTACCATTCTTTTAACCACTTTTCCTCTCCGTATACTCCTCTGTATATCATTTTTACATTGTAAAAAACTTTTCATATAGTAACTTTTACTCCCTCGGTACCCTCGTTACCTCATTATTTCACCAACTACTCCTCTTGCCACTTGCATCCACTCTCCTATAATCACAAACCTCTACTGTACACTTAACACTACGCTCTGAAATCTTCACCATACCTCTTCGATTCCCTCTCAACCTGTATTTTCTGTCGCCTCACATGTCTTGTAATAGTTGCTTAAGTTTTACCATAAATATCTACCTCTTACCCTCACTATAGTTTCCACTAAATAAAGATCTGGTATATCTATCACCGCTGTAAATTATTATTGTTATTATAATCAAGGGGGAAGCGCTAAACCCGGAGGAATATACAGCGCCTGGGGGGGGGGATGTGGAAGGCATTCAGGCTTAATTCGGGGAACTGGAGCACAGATCCAATTCCCTAAATCAAGAGCCCCTCACCAACATCAAGGAACCTTCTTTGAGGAGTCACCGCTGTAAAAACAAGCACATTCACATGTCTACCCAGCGACATTTTTTACTAATGCATTTTCTATCAAAATGTACTTATTTCTTACTATGTTGTATTTGTGTACTTATTCTCTTTTTTTTTCTTAAAATATGTCTTGCCTATTATCAAACGTTTTTCTATACACAATTCAGTTACTGCCCCAATTATCATTTAATCTTGTTACTCCAAAACTTAATTTCTATGACATCTACAACAGTGTCTCCCATGCGTATATTTGATTCATTTCACGAGGGGAGCGCTAGTGATAATCTCATTTGATCCAAGGAAAGGGAGGGGAGCTACAGTTGTTTGGATCAAGAGCCTTTCACTTCCCTAAGTCACCCTGAGAGGTGTTGTAGTTAAATAAAAAATGTTTAGATTGGAGTGTAAGGCGTACGTTTCAATTTGCTGATTTTATTTAACAATTTGAGATATTTGGTTTGGTGCTAATGCTTCAGAATGTCTCTACCTATCGGCTTCATATTTTCAGCACTGGTGCAGCCTACTTAAGGAACGTATAGACTTTTACTGGGCTTTGTAAGCTCCAATATGGAGATGATAAGGACACAAAAACTATAACTGGAACGTTTATTCAGTGTTTCAGCCATGCAATCTTGTCGATATTCCCGCACCATCTTCTGTTATAAGCTTCAATTAGTAAGTAACTTTATTCAGGTACACATAAATACAGTTACATAAATTATCATATATAGCAGTATATGTGTAGATTACCTAGAATAACTTATTTCAACCTTAAAAGTTAAAACAGGTAAGTAACTTAACTATGTGAAAAACAGTTACAATTAAAAGAGATGTACTAGTTCGTAATTTCAGTTACATAAACAACTGAAATATCTTACCACCCTATCTGGTAAGAATCAAAGCTATCTTAATGCCACCTTAAAGCTACCCTACATATATATTTTTTTACTTAATTCCATTTAAAAGGTAACAACTCTCTATTTAAAACCTACAACAAATTAAATATAAAGGGTTATTCAAGACATGTTAGGCAAACGTTCAAACAACAGGTACCTCATAATATAACTACTGATAAAAATAGGAAAGAATGGTCATATAGTCTATTACATGTATACACTAATAGTTGTAGTACAAGGATTAAGACGGAGAGCGAGACCGTAGATGAACAAATAATTTACAATGGGTAGGGGATGTGTAGACCAAGTGTTTACACTGAAGCATTGAAGTGAATATAGATATTATCGTAATAACTAAAACTTGGTTCAGTCTGAAAAATAGGGACGTGTCTGCTGAGTGTCACGTACACGTGTGTATATTATTATACACTGAGAGAATCAACAGGAAAGATGGCGGAGTTGCTATGTATGTTAGGGAAAAATTTATATTGTTGCGTCAGAAACAATATAAAGGTTTTAGGATTAGGGTTAGGATTAAGACGACGAGAGCTGTCTTGAGATGGGAAGGAAGAAGGATAAGGAAGGATGGAAATGACTGTAAAAGGATGGGAAGGAGGAAAAGAGGAGGAATCAAGGCAACTGGCCCAACCACTTTGGGACATGTGGTACCGAAGTACTGGAGACGTAGATGGAGAGGCTTGAATGATGTCGTCACTTGGCTCACGAGGAGAGGGTGGCGAAGGCAGCGGTAGGAGCTGGGAGTGTCAGAAGGCAGCAAGCAGGTTGAGTCGTATTGGCGGTGGTCAGCTTGAGGTGTGTTAAGCTACTATCCCATTAGAAAGAGTCTGGAACTTCTGTATTGATGTGTGCCTGATTCTAAATTTGCAATCTTGGTCGATCTTTGGAGAATTAAGGACACTGATAAGTTCTCTAAGGTAGAGAAAACGTGATGGACAAACGACGTACTTGACTTCTTCACTTTGGAGGAGGGGGATCAATGTCTGTGCATCCATTTCTTTAGGATAATCAGAAGTAGTGTAGAAAGCGAATCCACGTATCTTATTATATTGTTGCTCACCCTTAGAGTAATAGACAGGTGAAGTCGTTGATTGGTCAGTTTCAAGAAGTGTTGAAGGTGGAAGTGTAGATACGTTGTCAACTTCAGTAGACGAATTAGAAGATGTTTCTGGTGGCAAGGCTTTAATATAAAGGTGGAAGAGAGAGACACGGAGTCTGTTTGGCTGCGCTTTCTTGAAGAACATAGCAAGCTAATCTTAGGTGTTATCTACAGACCTCCAGACCTCCAGACCTCGGTAGTGACCATGGTAAACTTCTCTGGGATGAAATTACTTAGGCATCTTAAAAATGAAATGTAGTTTTAGTGGGAAATTTTTAACTTTAGCTAAATCAACCGGAGCAATTAAAGACAGGTAATCTAGAGTTTAGTGACTTTCTCGAAATGGTCCAGAAATGCTTTGTAAAACAGTTTGTGTCGTAACCAACTAGAGGAACTACCTGAACGTAGTTCTGCCAAACGAGGGTTTTAAATGATTGTAAAGAACCATGAGCTAGTCTCCTCAACGAAGCCACCTTGAAAGATATAATTTGATCAACGAATGTCAACACAGTTCTACAAAAGGGCATTCTTGACCGAGATGAAGAAAACGATACTGTGTAAATAGACTTCAGTAAGGTCTTTGACAAAGTTCCACACAGGAGATTAGGAAAGTAGCGGCACAGGGAATTGGAGGAAAAAATTATCTCCCGGGGTCGAGGTATGGCTGACCAATAGCAACAGGGAGTTTTTAATAATTAGAATAAATCGGAATGAGGACTTTTCACGAGTGGTGTACCAAAGGGGTCGCTGGTGGGACCGTTATAGTTCAAAATGTACATAAACCGCACTGATTTTGAAATAAATAGCAACGTGAGTAAGTTTGCTGATGGCACTAAAATAGGCCGTCACATAATTTCTGATGTGGACACTAGAAGGCAACAGATGACTTGGGTAAGTTGTGGTCGGAGAAGTGGAACACAGTTTAACTTAGACAAGTGGAACGTTCTAATCCTAGGATAAGGAAATAACTATGGCCCTTATAAGTTATACAATGTAGATCTTAAACAAAGTCAGTACGACAAAATCTAGGAGAGATAAATATTGTGTTGAAAATATATAAACAAGACAGGATTCGCAGCAATGGATTCAAGTTGGAGAAATTTAGATCAAATTCCTAGGTAATTTAATTGAGACAAAAACATTTTGGTAGCTTAAATTTTAAGTTGAACGGGTACATGAGCGGGTGTGAGTGGTTGTGAGGGGAACTTGTTTAGCATAGGCCATTAAGTCTGATGCATTGTTCCTTCGTTATGTACTTATGCATGTTCGCTATATTCGTTTCCGTGATATAAAAGGGAATCAACCTCGTTTTTAAACTAGCCCATATGGCTATAAGTCTTCGGTAATTTGGATTTTTTTTAATTTAGGAAAATCGCTCATAAATTTTCCACACGTTGTTTCATAGCTCTAACTCCTGGTAATTTTGAGTGTTAATCAGCAGTACTTTGGTGTTTCATAGGTGTTAAGGTGCAGCTGGTAGACTTCTTGAATATATACATCTCTGGCTCCTGGGTCTTATATAACTGACTTGAAGATCCTGGAGTACTTGGGAAGACTGAACTACAGCTCCTGGATCTGTTAAGAGACTAGTTGCAGCTGCTATTTAAGCATCTGAGGTGGAGTTACTAGGTTTCCAGCAAGGGTTGAGGCACAGGAGGCCGAGGTTATGTGATACTGTGATAACTCTCTCATAACATGCAATGATCCAGTGTCTGTTATTAACTTATTCTTGGCAACAGAAATTACCTCATCTACATATATGTATATATATATAGTA